TTTTTAATAGCATTGCCTCTTCCTCTAAAATTATTATTTTTCTTCAAAATCAAAATTGAAAGGCCGCCCTTTCACCCTTAGAGGGAAATAATTTAATGTTTAAAGTGATTGATCAAAAGAACTTGTTAACAGGGTGTCATTTGGTTTATTATAATCAACGTTAGGCAGTATTGAATGACCTGAATCACAAGAAACTCTTACACTAACTACTACCATAATAAATAATTCAAGTTAAAGAAATAAGAAAAAAAATACGATTTCAAACTTTTGGTGCTCGACGTTAATCACTTTACAAGCATCTTATCTATAATTAGATTGATTTTTTTACGTAATAGTATTTAGATTGACTTATTTATATTCATTGCTTGGCCTCTACTTTTTTTCCCTTGAATTTTGGTCATTTTCTAATAAATTTAGTGGGGTTAGTGGAACATTTTGGTCTATATAAAATTAATTTTATTCTCCTCCTGATTTTACAGATCATCATGCTAAGTGCATCAGCAAACAAGCTATCGAGATTGAAGGAGCAGGCGGAAGAATATGCAGCTTGATCATGGAAGAGTTGGACCCAGAAAGACTTGGATATATCGAGGTGGGTCCATTATTTATGTTGAGTTTCCAATACTTTCCATGATCAACTCCTCCTATGCTTTATGCATGATTTTTTTCTTCTTAATATTTTTTAATAAAGGATATTAAGACAAAGGATCTTCTAGATTTCGACAAGAAAAGGTGTTATATAATTTTAATATATCAAGTTGAGGAAATTATAATTTGCAGTGAGATTTCATTTCAGATTAGGTTTCAAACTAAATAAATAAGTTTCAATAAGATGTCCAGTTGAGCTGCATTGATATATATTAATTAAAGAATTAGTAAATTGGACTTGTTTCTTCCACAGTCTATTGGTAGGTGAAAATGATCAAATCTTCCAACAATCGGGTTCTGGTTTTGTTCAACCGTGATTAAGAAAAAATGATCAAGCAAAGAATAAACGGGCTTTAATGGCGACAGCTCAACTTAACTTATGTTGGTAAACAGTAAATTACACTTGAACCGTTTTTAGTACTTGATTTTCTGAGTCATTTAACTTCGGCTCAATAGGAAGAAAAAGAACTTGGCTGAATAGATTCCTTTCAAATTTCATTTGCATGATTATCCATTGAATAGTTACCTTACTAATTTTCAGTTCGCATGTATTTTTTTCCTTTAATTGATTGATCTCCATGTGATAATTAAGGCTTTATAGTATTATAATCAAATTGGGAGGTCACTATCGCCTATCGGGCAATGGCATCTGGTTGAATTTGATATTTTTTTCTTTACGTCATATTTTGGAGAATTGATTTTTTCTTTTGTTTTACTTGTCAAGTTGTTGAGATTAAGTATTGAGCAAAGGTATTGTCGTTATTTAGTCATAGATTAAAGGGCTCCTGACCAACTCCATCCATGATTGTCCCTTTTGAACAAATGGTCCTGCTAAATGGCAGACCTGACATTTGGGTTCCCATGTGAGCTTTGCTCTCTGGTTATTCCTCTCTCCAAAACGCGTCCTCTTCACTTATTCACGTATGCACGCGTCCTTCGTTCTGCATCACTCATATGTTAACGATTTGACAGAATCAAAGATAATTTTGTCCTTTTTCATGACTAGAAACTTTCCTTATCATTTAATATTTCCTTGGCCATAACATCATGATTGGTGGATGATGATGACTGATGAAATGATGCAGTTATGGCAATTGGAGACACTTCTCTTGCAAAGGACACGTATCTGAGTTACAGTCAAGCCCTAAGCTACACAAGCCAAGCCCTTAGCCAAACTTACAAGGAATAAGAAAAAGAAGCAGAATCGGAAGAATGAGCATAAACTCGTGTACTATCTAGAAGAAAATTGGAAGAGAATATGGGTCGTGTCTTGTGGGTCATGATTATGATAGGACTCTTTACTTGGAAGTTCTTTCAGTACAAACAGAAGAGTGCTTTTAATGTTATGGGTTATTGTCTCCTCACAGCCAAAGGAGCAGCTGAGACCCTGAAGTTTAACATGGCTCTTATCCTCATGCCCGTGTGCAGAAACACCATCACTTGGCTCAGGTCCACAAAGCTGACTCGATTCGTACCTTTGGACGACAATATCAATTTTCACAAGGTATGCAAACTGTTTACCAATTCCTTTATTTCTCTCTAGAAATACATCTTTAGCTTCTCTTTTACGTTTATCGTCTGGGTCCCGGATAATTGATAGAAGTCAACACAATGGGTTGATTTTACTTGATATTATTGCTTGTGAACTTTAAACAATGACGATATGACTGTTAAGGTTTTAAATCGCGGTCACAGTTATGTTTTTTATTATTTCATGTTTACTGTGATTGCGGTTATAGTGGACGCTATTACGGGTGTAGCGGGTAATTTAGACGGCGGTGCTATTGCTATTTCGCGGTCGCTATCACATTTTCGGACCACAATTTAAAACCTGCGACTATTTGTTGGGGGTAGAGGGAGACATTGCACGTTTCACGCAGCAAAAGTTGACATCTAAACAGATATTTCTTTTTAATGGTAGAGACACTAGGATTCCATACATGAACTAAATTTTTGTGTTTCTAATAATTTTTTTTGGCGGTGACTAAAGCATTAACATACACATGAATTTTTATTTTATTTTTTACAAATTTTGTTGGAATTTGTTTTTATCAATTTTCCAAGTCAAATAAATATATCCAAATGTTCAGCTTGGCCAACGAATATAAGGCTAGCAGAGTTAGCTAGTGGATATAAGGCTTCCCAATTCAAACATTTGCAAATAAGCCCAAAATGAATAGCATAATTGATGCATTGCATGATAACGTTGGAATTTGAAAGTTGTCGATTCCATACAATTAGAACATTTTTTACGCTCTCCTCATCTTATGCAGACAATAGCACAGCGATGTAATTGGAGTCATTCTCCATGTCGGTAACCATCTCGCCTGTGATTTCCCGAGGCTTATCGATTCTTCTAATGATAGATATAGAAAGTTTCTAAGCCATGACTTTGGAAGTCATAAGCCAACGTACTTAGACCTGGTAAAAGGAATGAAGGAGTGACTGGAGTTCTAATGGTTATCTTCATGGCCGTTGCATTTACACTGGCAACAAGATGGTTTCGGCGGAACCTGATTAAACTGCCCAAGCCCTTTGATAGAATCACTGGCTTCAATGCCTTCTGGTACTCACATCACCTGTTTGTCATTGTCTACGCCTTGCTCGTCATCCATGGCGAATTCCTTATCTCGTGCACATATGGTACCGTAGGACGGTATATATTTAATCTTCTTCTGCCATGTGTTTGCATAAATTCTAAGAGCAGAAATTTATTTTATTTGAGTAACTATAACTGTAGTTTCAGCCTTAAGGTAGGTATCGAATTCCATGTTGCAGACTTGGATGTACCTCGCTGTTCCAGTTTTGTTATATGCTGGAGAAAGGACCCTAAGAATTTTCGTTCTGGTTCCTATACTGTCCGGCTTTTGAAGGTAAGCATAACTCTGTCACTTTTATAACAAGAAGTATTTGCTCAAAGAAAAAGGGTGAAGTACAAAAGAGAAACATTTATTTGACAAATTAACTGGGAAGCACATGCTGCACAGCCTCTCAAGAATTTTATGTGAGGCTGGTCAATTCACGAGATTAGCTTCTCTGTGGTCCATTTCCCATGAACCCTGAATTTAGGTCTGAATGAGGCTGACGTGTATTTTGAATATTTGATTGGCGAATTTCTTATAACTTTTCATTCTCGATATATAGGTTGCAATTTATCCAGGAGGTGTTTCTCACATTGCAAATGTCTAAGCCACCTCAATTTAGGTACAAGAGTGGACAGTACATGTTTGACAATGCCCTGCTGTCTCTCCATTTGAATGGTAAGTACAAAAATATAAAAGCACATATAATGTTTTACAATGATTTCAGCTGTTTCGGTTTGCTACTAAATTGTTTTCAGAATTTCCAGAATAATATTCTGGATGTAAGTACATAATAGAAGAAAATGAAAATGGACTCGGACATTGATTTGCAGTCCACATAGCCTTTATAAGATGAATGGAGCCGGTCAACATATTGATTGATTTGTAATAATGAGAAGGAAGTTTAAACGGTAAACATTTGAGTAGTTGCACTAATAAATTGGTTTCGAGATTGGGGTTGGTTTCATAGGGAGGCAACATACATTTTGCTTTATGCAAGTTTTCTTCTGAACACAGCATTTCCTTTTGTGAACCAGGCATCCTTTTCCATAACCTCTGCTCCTGGTGATGACTACCTTAGTGTACATATCCGTCAGCTAGGTGACTGGACCCAAGAGCTCAAACGGCTATTCTCAGAGGTTTGAACCTCCCTGTAGCTGGAAAAGTGGCTTCTCAGGGCTGATGTGACAACTAAAAAGGTAACATCTATTTGGATTCTATTAATATTCAAAATTCTCTTTTTCTAGAAGCATTTAGAGTCTCTGGTAATACTGTGTAATTTTATAATCCATGATATTCTTGTCCGGAAAACAGTTTGCCAAAGCTGTTAATCGATGGACCGTATGGTGCACCGGCACAAGACTATAGGAAGTATGATGTTCTGTTGCTTGTGGGTCTTGGAATTGGTGCAACACAGGATTTGGCCTCGGATACCAGTAGGACATCAGACTAAGTGTTGAGAGCAGTGATTCAACTGCTACAAACAAAGTTTCACGAAAGAAGACTCTTAAGACGACCAATGCTTACTTTTATTGGGTTACCAGGGAGCAAGGTCATTGATTGGTTCAAAGGGGTCATGAATGAAGTTGCAGATCTTGATCAAAGGGTAATTGAACTAATCGTTGTATAAGTTTTTTCATTTATAATATTCTTAGAATGCCTTCATTAACTCGTCCCCTTGGAGAGCACTAAATCATGCCAAGAATGGAGTCGACATAGTTCGGGCACCAGGGTAAGATCCTTTTCTACGTGTCATTTTTTATTCTCGCATGTGAAGACACATTTTCAAACACAAATGGCCATGCAGATTTTCAAACACAATAAAGTTGGTCTTTGATTATCAGGTGCGGACATTTTGCAAGGCCTAAATGGAAGAAGGTTCTGTCTAAACTGGGTTCCAAGCATTGCAACGCAAGGATAGGTGAGTGACCCCAGATTTCAATTTATTTAAGCAAATGAAAAGCTAGCAGTCTTGTCTGTATCTAACGCTAGTGTTTTGTAATTCAATGCGGTGGGAGCAGGGGTGTTTTACTGCGGGGCACCGGTTTTGGCTAAAAGCTCAGCAAACTGTGCTACGAGCTGAACCAAAAAGGTTCAACTAAAGTCGAATTCCATAAGGAGCATTTCTAAGCCACGTATAAGAGGGGAGTAAATAGCAGCAGCCTCATCACCCTTAGCCCTAACTCCTTCTTTACCTAGATAAGTAAGAATTTTTGCAATAAAAACAGGAGTCACTGTACAGCCTTGGACTAGAAAAGGAAATCTACAAGGAAAAAAAAAAGGCAAATGTATTTCATTTTGCTCTCTGTCCCATCGTAGAATGCCCTCAAAAAGAGAGACTGAAATGATTTTGATAAATTGGATTCAGTCAGCAACAAGATAAATAGAGAAGAGGGGATAAGTGCCGTATGCTGCGATGGAGAGGATGACTTCAGAATTGAGAGGCTGGGCTGGGCTACCGATTTGAATTATTGGTGGGATGGAAGAGATATAGGTTTTTTTTCTTTTTTTTCTTCTTCTATTTCCCAATTTTCATGTAAATATACTAGAAGGATTGAGGAAATAGGGGAAAAAGTTCAAATAAAATCCTTCTAGTATCACACCCAAGTAATAATATTAACATACTAGATAATTATCGATTTTTTACTCTGTGTAAGTCAAAATATTATAATTATTTGAAAAAGAATCTATATATAAGATATACCTAATGCATGAAAATATCATGAAATGATAGGATAATTTGACCAAAACTATAGCAGCCAAGGGTAAAATACAAAAAAGGCAAAACATATGCGAGACTCTTAAAAAATAATAATGTGGCTCTTGTCAATTTTTCCACCTAATGTGATCTTCAAACTTAGAAAACAAACATAATGATACTTTGGCCAATAATTTTCGTTGTTGACCATTACGATGTTGATATGACATTTTACGATACTTACATGACAATCTATTATGGCTAGTGACATGAAAGATAGGTTAAATTGATTTTTTTTTTGTGAGTTCAATGGTCAAATTGTGTTTTTTTTAGTTCAAAGAAAAATATATTTTAAATTTTAAATATACAAATATAGAAATTTGATTCCTTTGAAAAATTGGATAATTTGGATTATGGATAATCTGCTAAAACTGAAGATATTGAAGATACAAAAGGTATAAAATGTATAAAGATTGTGACAAAATAAATGAAAGAATTTATATAAATCGGCTGGAAGCATTTAAAAACATAAGGTTAATATCAATTTATTTCTTCGAGTCATTTTATTTAATTATCGATTGGATATTAATTTACTTGATGTTATTATTATAATTAAAAAATAAGTATTTATATGTATTTAAATTTATTATTTTTTACTTAAAGGTTGAGATTTAAAAATTGTTGACGAAAACGGGTAAAGAAAACGAAAGAACACGAGAATTTTACGAGGTTCGGCAATGTGCTTACGTCCTCGGTGCTTAGGCGACGCTAGAATTTTATTCAATGATATTTTAGGTCTAGGTTACATCTCTATTTATAATAGAAAACCCTGGTACATAATTACAAAATCAACCCGTACCGTACCGCGGGGGCTACGCCCCGCACCCCAACCCACATAATTTTAACCCCACAACGAGACTTTCTTTGTAAGGACAATTAATGTTCGCTTCGCTCACTCCGCTCCATCTCCTGTCCTCTTTACTGGTATATTTATGAGCCATACCTAACAAATCTCCACCTTGGCGAATATCCTACCCCTTGGAAACTTCAATGTGGGTTGGGTACCTTGCTTCTTTAACAACTCGAAACATTCAACAAGTCCAAGCAATGCTGAACTTGTCTGTCGTAACTGACTTGGTGAACATATCAGCGGCATTCTCATCAGTATGTACCTTCTGAAACAAAACCTCCCAGATGCAACCAACTCTCTGATCTTGTGAACCTTACATCAATATGTTTAGTTCTAGCCGATACACCTGATCTTAGCCAAGTGAATAGCTTTGATTATCACAAAGCAACTGAACTCCACCTTGTTGAACACCCAACTCCTTCACTAAACCAGTAAGCCATAAAGCTTCTTTTGCAGCTTCAGCCGCTGCCATGTATTCAGCTTCAGTGTAGATAGTGCCACGACAGATTGAACAGTAGACTTCCAGCAAATAGGCCCTCCACCAAGAGTAAACACATACCCTGTCGTAGATCTTCTATTATCCAAGTCACCTGCATAATCTGAATCCACATATCCTACAACCAAAGGATTATCCCGCTGACTCCCAAAAAACAATTCCATGTCCCACAGTACCCTTTAGTACCGAAAGATCCACTTGACTGCATCCCAATGTTGCTTACCAGGTTTAGACATGTACTTACAAACTTGACTAACAGCATGAGCTAAATCAGGACGAGTACATACCATCGCATACATCAAGCAGCCAACAGCATTAGAATACGGAACCTTTGCCATATTTTCAGCTTCCTTATCTGTCTTAGGGCACTGTTCTGATGAAAGCTTAAAGTGATTCGCCAATGGAGTGCTTGGTTTCGCGCTGCTCATCGCAAACCTTTCTAGCATTTTCAACATAACCTCGTTGAGATAGCCGCAGTTTCCTGAGTCTGTCCCTGCAAATTTCCATTCCAAGAATTTTCTTTGCAGCACCTAAATCTTTTCATATCAAATTCCTAACTCAATAAAGTTTTCAAACCGATAACACATCCATGTTCTTCGCAGCAATCAACATATCATCAACATACAGTAATAGAAAAATAAAAGAACCTCATCAGGCTCTAACATAGACACAACAATCATACTCACATCGGTTGTAGCCAATCTTGATCATATAGGAGTCAAACCGTTTATACCACTGTCTCGGAGACTGTTTTAACCCGTACAAAGATTTCTTCAATCTGCAAACTAAATGCTCGTTTCCAGGTTGAGTGAAACCTTCAGGTTGCGCATGTAGATCTGCTCCTCTAAATCACCATGCAAAAAAGCAGTTTAACATCCATCTGCTCTAAATGCAAATCCCAACTAGCCACCAATGCAAGTACTGCTCGGATTGAAGTGTGCCTGATCACAGGAGAAAAGATTTCATCATAATCAACTCCTTTCTGCTGTGAAAAACCCTTCGCTACCAACGAGCCTTGAACTTCTCCCCCTCTTTTTCTGTTACTGCTGGTTTCTTCTTATACACCCATTTGCAACCAATCGGCTTCTTACCCTCAGGAAGGGGAACTAACTCCCATGTGCGATTGTGATTCAAAGACTCCATCTCCTCAACCATGGCTGCCATCCACTTGTCGTTTTCCTGACTAGTAACGGCATCATGAAAAGTAACTGGATCATCACTGCTAACAGTAAGTGCAAAAGATACCAAGTCTTCAAACCCAATCTGTTCGGAGGCTTTATATTCGTCCGTCTGACCCTGTCTCTGGCGAGACTATAATCCTGCAAATCATCCGTAGTGGAACCACCAGAAGTCGGTTGAGAAGTTTCTGGTTTCTCAACTGGAAACTGCTCGAAATCTACCACTGTCGTGTCTTACTTCTGCTGCAACATAGACTGTTCATCAAAAACGACATCTCTACTAATCACAACTTTCTTCGCAACTGGATCCCAGAACTTGAATCCTTTGACACCTTTCTTGTAACCCAGAAAAATGCACTCCTTCGATTTTACATCAAGTTTGGATCTCTCATCAGCAGGTACATGCACATAAGCAGGACAACAAAAAATCCGTAAGTTATCAAAACTAACATCATGACCAGTCCATACCTCTTCTGCAACTTTCCCAGCCAGCGATGCCCTGGCGATCTGTTGATAAGGTAACACGCCATGTTAACAGTCTCAGCCCAGAAGTGTTTGGGAAGCCCCGCATTCAACCGCAAACATCTGGCTCTTTCATTCAACGACCTGTTCATTCGTTCCGCAACACCATTCTGTTGTGGTGTCTGCGCACTGTAAAATGCCTCTGAATCCCATGCTCCTTACAGAATTGTAGGAACTGTGAATCTGTGTACTCCGTACCATTGTCAGACCGCAAACACTTGATTTTTCGTCCTGTTTGGTTTTCTACCTCAGCTTTCCACAGCTTGAACTTCTCAAAACTTCAGATTTCTATTTCAAAAAATACACCCAAACTTTCCGTGAAAAATCATCAATAAAAGTAACATAGTACCTAGATCCACCCAAAGACGATGTCGTGGAAGGCCCCCATACATCAGAATGCACATAATCAAGAATCCCTTGAGTTGTGTGCTTCGCAGTCTTGAAACGGACTTTAGTCTGTTTACCAAGAACACAATACTTGCAAAAATCGAGCTTACAGCTTTGACACCATGCAAGTTTCTCTTGTGTAATTCTGCCATACCACGTTCACTAAGATGAGCAAGGCGCATATGCCACAATTTTGTCGTATCATCACAGGACTCAACAGAGTGAACTCCACCTGCAACGGTACTCCCTAACAATCTGTAGATATTCCCTGCAGTCATCTTGCCTTTCATCACAGTCAATGCTCCTTTAACAATCCGAATGGTTTCCCTATCCTCGTCAGCCTTAGGGATAAAACCATTCTTGTGCAAAGTGCCCAAGGAAATCAAATTCTTCTTCAAGTCTGGGATATGTCGAACACCACTCAACGTCCGAACGGAGCCATCGTGCATCTTAATTCTGACATCACCAATACCAACAATATTGCAACATCGATCATCACCCAAATAACCGAACCAGAATTAACCGGCCTGTATGTCGAAAACCATTCCCTATTTGGCGTGATGTGATAAGAACATCCAGAATCAAGAATCCAAGCATCCGTCAATTGTGTCGTTGAAATAGAAAGCATATCACCCTCACTGCAATCAGAAGTATCATCCTCGATCACGTTCACAGACTTGGATGAGCCATCACGCTTCTCATCAGTCTGCTTTTTCAACTTCGGACAGTCTCGCTTCATTTCCCGCCTCCTTGCACTTGTAACAGTGAATCGTCTTCTTATCCTGGATTTGGATCTGGAATTCCGCTTCCCGGACCCTGCCTTCTCTGGCTTCCGTCCACGATCTCGATTACCCTTGACATATAAGCTATCGGCTTGAGAGCTTTCCCCTGCATTCTGCTTCCGCTGGTTGTGAGCCAACAAGGCTGCAGTAATCTCCTCAACGTTGATAGTCTCTTTCCCATATGTAAGAGTAGTCACCATGGTTCGTAAGAGAAGGCAACGAACACAACAGAATCATCGCTCTGTCTTCATCCTCAATTTTCACATCAAGCCGAGCCAGATCAGAAACGATTTGATTGAAGACATTCACGTGTTGCGCCAAATCGTGATCGTCCTGCATCTTCAGCCCTACAGCCGCTGCTTCAGATACAGTTTTGTCGTTAAGGATTTGGACATAAACTGACTTTCCAACTTCCTCCAAATTTCGTCTGGAGACGATAGATGCATGACGTGATACATGACCTCGTCCGCCAAGCATAATCGTATGGTTCCTGCCGCTCGCTGCTGCAACTCTTCCCAATCTTCCTCATCCATCGACGCCGGCTTTGTAGGTCGCAAAGCCTTCAAGATCCCTTGCTGCGCCAATAGATCCTTCACCCTCGTTTGCCATAATCCGAAGTTACCTTGACCATCGAATTTCGCGACTTCGAATTTTGCTCCTGACATCTGATACC